ACCCTGTGTCCCTCCCCAGCTAGGCCTCCAGACACGCCGAGCGGGGCCCCTGACAAGCCACGTGCAGACCCACAAAACCGACCGATACCAAATGCAGTTTCAGCTCTTCGGCCTGTGAACTGCGCTAAGCAGCCACAGGAAACAAACATAGGCCCTCCCGAGGGCGGGCCTGCGGTGGCCACGGTCCCAGCAGCACGGCCGGGACATCAGATCCCTGACCCACAGAAACTGATGTTTAAAGCTGCTAAGTTTCAGGGTAATTTGTTACATAGCAGTAGATGACGAATACAGCATGAAACAGGCAGAAGCACAAACACGAAAAGGAAGGGGGATGATAACCTAGAACAACAAGAGAATCAACTTTTAAAAAATCAAGGTCAATAAACTGGGCAGATTCAAGATACAAACACAGGAATATGTTAGGAATATATCATATTCTACACTTGGAAGTACTTGTACGGTATGTATCACTCAACTCTTAGCAGCAACACAAGTTAAAGTAACCCAGGGAAAAAAAAAAAAAAAAAGTAACCCAGGAACGGATCTGACCTACATGAACAAAGCTACAACTTTTTACTGAGCAACATTTTTTTTTTTAAATAAATTTATTTATTTATTTTTGGCTTTGTTGGGTCTTCGTTGCAGTGCGCGGGCTTCTCATCGCAGTGGCTTCTCTTGTTGTGGAGCACGGGCTCTAGGCCTGCGGGCTTCAGTAGTTGTGGTGCAAGGGCTAAGTTGCTCCGCGGCATGTGGGATCTTCCCGGACCGGGGCACGAACCCGTGTCCCTTGCATCGGCAGGCGGACACTGTGCCACCAGGGAAGCCCGGCAAGCGGATTCTTAACCACTGTGCCACCAGGGGAGTCCCACAACATAAGGACTTGAATCAAAATAAGGAGATTCCTTATGGAATATGACAAGATTATATCACTTTCTGTAAGAACTAACAAGCAGGATTAGTTAAGAGGAATGGTATCAGAGCCAAGAGACTGGCAGGTACAGCCAGGAAGAGCCGAGTGGATTCTCACGTGTCAAAAACCTGGTAAAATGTCAAATAGACACCACATGCCAACAGGGAAGGGAAGCTCTACTCCATAGATGGTATGAGCCAACCCTAGCTATTCAGACCTTCAACCGCAGCCTGGCCCCCATCCCCACCATCACACAGAAGGCAGGCGTGCGACACCTGCTCCGCAAATTTTAAATGGGCGTTTCTTGTGCTTGATCATCAACCAACACACCCATGGAAGACACGGCCTAAGTATGTAACAGGAAATTCAAGTCCACAAACCACGAATGTGCGCAGTTAAGGCTGGAGAGACAGCCTGTCAGGCAGGAGACTCCAGGTCATCACATTCACCCCCTAACAGGCCTTCATGATGGGCTCGCCTCTGCCCTCAGGCCTGATCTACTCACTTGCCCCTTCCTGGTCCCCCGCCCTCCCTGCCCTCAGGATCACACCCCTGAACTCGCTGCTCAGCCTACAAGGCCTACTAGGCTCCTACTCCTGTTGTGCTGTGGCCACAGGATTCCTCGAACGGCTGTGCTTGCCGGAGACAGCAGGGAAAGAAGGTGAGCAGGTGGGCCAAGCAAGCCCCACAGATGCAGAGTGACAACCAGCCTCTGTGTCGAGAGCCACCAGGCAGGCTGGGGCCCTGTTTTCCCTCCAGCTGATCAGTGTCTTAGATGCTTTCTAAAAGCTACAAACTGGGTTTCAACATGAAGTCTCATTTTAGATGTTGGCGACGAACCAAAATTTAACACTCAGGGGCTAATAAGACTTTGGACTTTGCAGCTCAAATGAATCACATCTCTGAACCACATGGGACCTTCTGCTCTGCAACCCCTAGCCTCTGCTCCAGGGTGTCGAACCCCAGACACGCACCTTCCTACCTGCAACTTCGGGGGGGGGGGGTCCGTCCTTCCTCCACTCACCCTCTTAATGGGCTCTGTAATATAAGGGCACTGGCTCAGGAAGCACCCCATGACAGCTCAGTCCACGGCCCCTTCTCACACAGGCCACGTGCTCTGTGGATGTCACAGCGCTTGCCATGGCAACTGCACACACTCTGCAGTGGGGCCCAGGACCAAGGGTCCCGAGGGCATCTGCCCTCCAGCACCCTGGCCAGAGCGAGGTGAGGCAAACAGACCCCCTCAGACACTGATGGTCATGGGTGAAATGGAGCAGCCCCTGGGGTGAGCGGCCTGAAAATTATTGTTGAATCGTAAGTGGGCATTTCTTTCTACGGAGTGACTGCACCTGCAGAAATTTAAGAGTATGATTCACTAAGGTGTGCAAACTTTTATGTCCAAGGCTATGTAATATAACGTGTTTATAACAGTTAAAAGCTGGGCACAAATGTTCATCTATTAAATCGGAGTATTTGACAATCCCATTTAAAGAAAAAAGTGGTTATAAGAAAAATTATCGTTGTGAGGAAAAAAATGAAAGATATGAAAAAGTGAAATTATATACACAGTATGACTACAACTGCTTAAAAACCACACAGACTCCCAAGTTACATCTCAAAAAGAAGATGGGAGAAAATATACTAAACCCTTTGTCATGGTGTTTTAAGTGGTAAGATGGTAGATTTCTTTCTACTCTTTGTTTAGCACAACAGCCTGGACGCCCTGGAGACAGTCAGTACACTCGCGGAGAATGCAGGAGATGACGACTACAGCATGAAACAGGCAGAAGTACAAACACAGAAAGGAAGAGGGATGATCACTCACGCGCGTACGCGCGTGCGCGCGCACACACACACACACACACGAATGCCGAGCTCCACGCTCGATGCAGGAGCAGCTCGTCAACCCCTCATTCACCTTGTTACCACACGTCTACCCCCAGCCCTAACAGGCGCCCAGGAATGGATCTACTAGAAGAGAAATATTTCAGACACCGTCTTTTTTTTTTAAACCGTGGCACCCCAGCCTCCTGCCTGCACGGGGAGCCCCGTCTTGTCTCAGCTTCCCAGGAGCTGGCCTCACAGTCCAACTGTGTGGAAACGTAGTAGCAAGAGAATGTCTATCAACTCTATCAAAACAAGGGATGAGGCCTTATCGGGAAGATCCTTTATTTGCTGACAGAGATGAAATCTTGCTCCAAATTTCTACACATCTCAATGTACCAGACAGCTGTGTACTTGGCAGCTATGGTGTGCGGGGGCCCAGAAGCTCCACGCTAGAAATGATGCTAGAGATACGTTCGGTAGATTACTCCTTTCTGCCCGTGGACGCCGCCGAGTAAGCATCGTTGACGTCTCCCCGCCCTGCACCGTCGTCACGTCTAAGTCAGGGTCTCCCAAAGAGCCACACAGCTGCAGAAGCTCTTCATCGGAGGTTTGAGCCTTGAAACAAGCGACGCGAGCCTGAGGAGGCATTCTGAGTGGCGGGGAGTGCGCACAGACTGTGTGGCGACGAGAGATCCAAGCACCAGGCACTCCAGAGGCTTCAGGGTTGTCACATACGCCACTGTGGAGGATGTGGGTGCGGCCATGAAGGCAAGGCCACACGAGGTGGATGGGAGAGTTGTGGAACCCAAGAGGGCCGTCTCAAGAGAAGATTCTCAAAGACCTGGTGCCCACTTAAGTGTGAAAAAGATTTTTGTTGGTGGCATTAAAGAAGACACTGAAGAACATCATCTAAGAGATTATTTTGAACAGTGTGGGAAAATTGAAGTGATTAAAATCATGACTGATCTAGGCAGTGGCAAGAAGAGAGGCTTTGCTTTCGTAACCTTTGATGACCATGACTCTGTAGACAAGACTGTCATTCAGAAATACCACACTGTGAATGGCCACAACTGTGAAGTAAGGAAAGCCCTATCTGAGCAAGAGATGGCTAGTGCCTCATCCAGCCAAAGAGGCCGAAGTGGTTCTGGAAACTTTGGTGGTGGTCGTGGAGGGGGGTTTTGGTGGGAGTGACAGCTGTGGTCGCGGAGGAGACTTCAGTGGCCGAGGTGGCTTTGGTGGCAGCCGCGGTGGCGGGGGATATGGTGGCAGTGGGGATGGCTATAATGGGTTTGGTAATGATGGAAGCAATTTTGGAGGTGGTGGAAGCTACAATGATTTTGGCAGTTACAACAATCAATCTTCAAATTTTGGACCCATGAAAGGAGGAAACTTTGGAGGCAGAAGTTCTGGCCCCTAGGGTGGTGGAGGCCAATAGTTTGCCGAACCCCGAAGCCACGGTGGCTGTGGTGGTTCCAGCAGCAGCAGCAGCTGTGGCAGTGGCAGAAGGTTTTGATTACTGCCAGGAAACAAAGCTTAGCAGGAGAGGAGAGCCAGAGAAGTGACAGGGAAGCTACAGGTTACAACAGATCTGTGAACTCAGCCAAGCACAGTGGTGGCAGGGCCTAGCTGCTACAAAGAAGACGTTTTAGACAATACTCATGTGTATGGGCAAAAAAACTCGAGGACTATTATTTGTGACTAATTGTATAACAGGTTATTTTAGTTTCTGTTCTGTAGAAAGTGTAAAGCATTCCAGCAAAGGGTTTTAATGTAGATTTTTTTTTTTTTTGCACCCATGCTGTTGATTGCTAAATGTAATAGTCTGATCATGACGCTGAATAAATGTGTCTTTAAAAAAAGAGAAATGATGCCACTGTTCACATGAACAGAAGATACATACCCCAGGGGCAGAAATACGGTAAAAATCTAGTTTTAATTTGTTAGGCATCATTTTACCAATACTGAAAACAAAGATCAGAAAGAAAGCCCTACGTTGAGAGAACACATTCCACACTTGAATATGGTAGCTGGTGGACCCAACAGTAAGGGATATAGATTTCTGAGAGTGAAATAAAGCCAAGAATTACAATAAAATGAAAACTCAGCTGCAGAAGGAGCCAAACATGGGACCTGGGAACCGTGTGTAAATACTGTTATGTCTTGGCCGGTGATCTGCTCTGGTTTATTCCAGGAGACACGAAACATCACTAGGACTGGTTAATTCCTTCCCTCCGCCAGAAACGGTAAGATTGGGGTTACTCACGTGATATCCCTTCGCTGATAGCAGCCCTGAAGTAGGCACGCGATCAGGTCACTGATAAACTCCACGTCATCTCTATGAAGAGCTGCTTCTAACTCCTGAGGAGGAGAAGGGAGAGGGATTGAGAGCTCAGACATGGATGCAGATTTCCTAACAGCCAGCAGCTCGTCCCTTCCAGGTCGCCACCACACCACCACTGCCATCACCGTCACGGGCCAACTGCCCTCCTTTTTGGTTTTCCAAGAGTTTACTCCCCCACTGCTCCTTACCAAGCTCCATTCCTTTCACCTGCACACACAGACACCTCTTTTTACAAGTCAATGCAGCACAGTCACAAAAGAGCTTAACTTATATTAATATACTGTTTTGCTTTCTATTATTTTGCAAGAGTGTAAAGGAGTAAAAATGTAATTACTCAGAAAGTATTCATTTATTGAAGAGTTTCAACAGGCAAGCCAACTGCAACAGCTTTCCAGAGCCACGCTACCTTGAGAAGCGGCACTAGGAAGTGAGCAATCTGTGGTCCCCACAGGCCCGGGGAGGAGGCTGCCAGCGCCAAGGCCGAGCTGACATCACCTGAAGGGAAGTGAGGCGATGCCGTGCTAAGGGGCTAATCCCAGGGGAGGTGCACGTGCTGTCCTTGGGGTTTAGGTAGCGATGCCAAAGATTTAGCTTGACTTTGCACATACCCTGAACAAAGGTTCGTTGAGGAGCTACAGGGACAAAAGGTGACAGCGTGGAATTTTGGGAGATTCTATTCCCTTCTCAAGTTCCCACAGTGAACCAGTGTTTCCTGAGATGATGGAACATGCCCCAATCACCAGCTCCCGGGATGCAGAGAGGGCCCACGTCTGGTCCACCAGGATGCCGTCCACCCACTATGCAAGCCATTTCCCAAGGGTCCACTACGCTTGTGGTGTGGCCGGCTCATAACCAAAATTGCGAGGGTCTTATGAGTGGTTTGGAAAGCATGAGGTGTGCCAAATATGCAGCTTCTGTTCTGCCCACACCAAGTACCGGGCAGTGTACACAAGAGGTGGGGATCCACTTCTGCTGTAAAAATGGTAACGGTCTTTTTAAAGCTATTTTAATTGTTCCGTTTATTATTCTACGTTTAAAAGTTTCTAAGTTTGTAAACACGCACTCCGAAAACTTCACATGACAAAAAACTGCTAAACACACCAACTGATAGAAGCAAACAAAATACAAACTACCCCGAGAAGGAAGGGGCATAGACGTCTTGAAAGCCCAGGTGAGCGAAACTCAGAATTCAAAGACAAGGCCCAGCGTGAAAACCTTGTGTCTGCCCTACCTACAAATTTGGTAACGATGAGCATGTCTATTACAATGGCTCTTATTCTTCTATTAGCTTACTAATTCCTTTGGGCAGAGCTCTTTTCTACATTCTACCGAACAAACATAACAAGGATTTGAACTATATTTGGTCAGAATTCATTTATTCAACAAACATTTCCGGGGCACCCAGCACTTCCTGAGCCCTTGGGGAGCTGGAGTCAGCGGGGGGAGTAGACGGGACACAGCACCTCTGGGCATAGAACCGGTGCTGTGGGAGGGACGGGCGCTGCTCCAGGGGCCCAACACCCGGGGTGGGGCTGCACACGGGGCAGGTGGGCCCGGCCTGCCGTGGAGAGGGTGGCACCCGCCCAGCTGCTGCAGCAGAGGGTGGAGATAAGGCCACTGCGGCTCGAGCAACAGCCCAGAGGAGACTCTGAGGGACTTAGCTGAACGAGACAGACAGCGGGAGGGGAGACACGCACATCCAGAGCCCAACAGGAGCACAGGAGGGACAGAGCAAGGGAAGATTCAGGCTCCTACTGAAGCCCAGTCACACTGGGCAAGACCCCAAAGGAAACCGCAGTTAAGAGAAGAGGCTGGACCCTTGAAGCACAAAGTCCCAGGCCACCTCGTTCAATAGATTAGCCAGAATTACTGACACTAGAACCGGAAGGAAAACATCCACAAACCAATGATGGGAATGTGTCATGAACCAAGAATTATGATTAATACAACCTGTGAATCTGAGGTTTAAAAAAGGAAAGAAAAAACTGTTGCACTGTACTTTCTGCTGGCCTCAGAACCCAGGCTTCATTGGTGATTCAACCACTGTTTTCTTTTTTAATATTTATTTGTTTATTTGGTTGTGCCGGGTCTTAATTGCGGCATGCATGTGGGATCTAGTTCCCTAACCAGGGATCGAACCCAGGCCCCCTGCATTGGGCGCGCAGAGTCCCTTCCACTGCGCCACCAGGGAAGTCCCCAACCATTGTTTTCTTAACATTATCAGCAGAAAGTGAAGACTAACACCCCTATCTACATTTGAAAAAATTATTAAATGATCTGTTCTGTCCAACTCTGGCAGAGAGTCTAAAAATGGCACTGGTGAAAACCTATCCCCAGTGAACCTGGGCTTGCCTTTCTGGCACAACCATAATCTAGGTAGCCACTGGGAAGGCGGTTACATACGAGGCTGTGCACCAGGGATGCTGAATCAGCTCTTCCAAGGCGAACTGGACAGGCTTGAAATGTCTCTCAAATGAGTACTGAGAGGAGCTCTGATACTATGAATGCAATCCCACCCCCTGCCTCCCATTTCACCCATGGGATACGGTGACTCACAAACAGTAACTCACAAAATATACAATTGCTTTTCATATTTATTTCTATGATATTATGCTTCATAAATCAGAAGCTACCTAGAAAACAAACCAAAATAGATGCAGGCCCCTGGTAACTTGTGAGGCGCACTTTTCCCTCTAGCTCGGCAGGGCTTCACCCACACAAGTGGTGGACAGTCCGAGGAAGAAGGCACTGCCTCTGGACAGCCCGCTGTCCTCCCCTGCAGCTGCCACACGGTGACCAGGGCACCGGGCGCAACCTCGGCACTCCCGGCCCTCGGCCTAATGTTACAGAGAGACAGCAGAGGAGAAACAGGAGAGCAATTTCAAACCCGCTGAACAAAAAAAAGTGCCGGCTTATCGGTTAAAATGTTTTCACTTCAATGGATAGAGCTTCAGATTTGCAAGGTGAAAACGTTTTGGAGCTGATTCAGAACAATGTGAATATACTTAACACTCCTGAATTGTGCACTTAAAACGATGCTAAATTTTGTGTCTTTTACCACAATTTATTATAGGAAGAAAAAACTTTATCACATTAAAAGTTTCCCTGTGCAGGGGTTGTTGTGATGATTTAAATGAGGCAATGCTTATAAAAGCCAGACCAGCCTGGCACACAGCAAATGCTCTATAGCATGTGAGCACAGCAATTATCTCATCTTCCTTAAGTGGTGGTGTGTAGAAAAAAGCAGACTGAAGAGATAGAAAGCGGTCTTTTCAAAATTCAGGTTTCTGAACAACAGAAATTCAAACTCTTAATACACGGCCTGTGTGCATGAGCCAATAAAACCATCTCCAGATCCAGTTATTCAAAGCCTTACCACATACGCCTTCAGCCGGGAGCCTGAGGCTTAGGCTAAGGCATCGAGAAATAAACACCCTTCAAGCGCCCCACCCCCACTTTCCTCCTCCCCTTTTGTATTTCCTTTTCACTGTGGGCACTGAGCTGTGAGGACAGAAATCTGAACTTTGCCAAGATGCTCTGGGGCGGGGGCGGGGGGTGGTGGTGATCAGCAAATCAGCCGAGAAGGGACACGAGAAGGGCTCCTGGGCTCCCGCTCTTCAGAGGGGCCAGAGGGAGAACAGGGCTCACCCTCTGTGCAGCTGGCGGCACAGCTCATTAGGGACGGGCCTGTTCAGCACCGGCACACGGCCCTGCCCTCGGGACCCGGCGGTGGCTGCTGGGAAAAGAACCCCAGGGTGAGCCAGGGAGGGAAAGGGGGCCCTTAGCCTATGTCGTGGAAACTCTTCGCCACAAACAGGGAGAACGTCCAGAAGAGACAGCCAAGTGCAGCACAGGGAACACAACTAACTCCTTCGACGCACAGCCACCACTTAGCACCTGTTCTCAAATGTCACTGCAGGGACTTTCTACTGTTTGATCTGCTCCTGAGCACCGTACAAGTCTTCTTTAATCTTTTGCGAAAGAAGGTGGTAAAGAGAGAACAACTTTCTTTCCTTCAACTTCCAAGGAAGGATGAAGATCACAGAGCTGCACCCTCCGGGCACAAAGGTCCTGCTGAGTGTACCAAAGGAGGGAAAAAGGGCTAAGGAAAACAGCCATATGTGCTGTATTTGATTTCAGAAGGTTACAAATCTTTCTCACCTGCACAGGAACCAACTGCAAGGCAGTAGGGGTCACAGTCAAAGGCGGGGGCTTCTGCGTGGGCCCCAGAACTGCACTCACACAAAGGAGATGCACAGCAGGCCCTCCAGGGACCACCCCAGCTGCTCTCCATGAGAGACCGCCTGGAGAGCGGGCTCAGCCTCCAGAAGGCCTCCCTGACTCTGCCAGCTGATGTTTTCTAACTTGATATAAATTAATCTAATCCCAAAGGCTGCCCGGGCCAATGCAAACCGTGCGGTATACATCAGCCCAAGCGGGTTACCGCTGAGGATCCCCGAAGTGCTACCCCAACGTCCTCCCCGTGGCCGGCAGCTCTGCACCGCGGCTTCTCTGCAGACACACCTTCCTCTCGGCAGCCCACAACATGGCTGTCACTGGCTGTGATGCTGGGAAACAACAGAAAGGAAACCACAGAGCTCCCCTCAGATAGGACTGCTACCCTAGAATATTAGATTACTGCAAAATACTAATCAAAGCAATAAATGTGTAAACCTACAAGAAACTGATTTTCTAAAAAGGTATACATTACCAAAACTGGCTCCAGAAATTTTTAAAAAGGCTCAGAACTTTCATGGATCTTCTCCCACAAGAAAGCCCCCACGGTACACAAATAATTCCTGAGCACTGAAGAGATGGAAGCTTCGCAACACGTCCACAAAGCTGGTGCTGGATGAGCAGGGCCCTGCGGCCCCTACAAGCCTCAGACCCAGGTCGGCGTATGGACGTCATCGCAGAGACTGTGCCCCTCGGGTCCCACGGCGCATGGACGTGGCACAGCTTCCTAGAAAGCCGGGTTTACTCTGATTGTTTTGTTTTCATCGTTGTTGCTTGTTGT